TCCTCCACCAGCGCACTCAAACTAAACACAGCGCTTGATGACTTCCAGATTAGGCACATGACAAATCATGCAATCTGAAGAGTGCAGCAGAAATTCAGGCCTGGTTTTCGGTGCCAGAGGCTTTTAGTTTTGCCTTTCATTTTCCTTTTTAGTGGAGAGAGTCAGAGAGGACGAGGAGAGACACTCTTGAGTTTCCTTTTACACCTGGTAGAGAACGAAGGCAATGCGTGAACAGTGGTGGGATGTAATTAAGTACATTTACTGAAGTAGAAATTTGAGGCAGTTGTATATGAGTGTTTCCATTTTATGCTACTGACAGCTGTAGTTACTTTACTGTTCAAGATTTTAGACATCGAACGTGAATGAAATATCCATTACAATGAATTACACACTATATCCTGAGAGTAGAACATGAGACAGATAATTAGGTTCCTTTGGCTCCTTCTAGAGCTCCTAATGGCGTTTACCGGACCCGAACGAAAACAACCAATCAGAAAGCCGAGAGAAATTTGAAATACACTTTGGTTTGGAGGGTTGAAGACAGTTGATTGTCTAGTCTCATTCTTAAAGTCCTGGGAAGGACGACCTGGGAATGAGACTCAGCATTCGACTGTCTCTCTCGGCTCTGATTGGTTGTTTTCGTTCGGGCCGGTGGCCGTTTGGAGTTCTAGGGGGAGCCAGAGGAACCTGATTTTCACCAGATTATCTGTCTTATGTTCTACTGTAAGGATATAGTGAAAGTTACAGCAAATATCACAAAAAATATTTTTATAAAAAGGACCTACTGCAGCTTCAAGTCTGTATCGTTGATAAGAAAACTCAAAAACATATACAATATAAACAGAATCTTATAATAAGTCCCCTAAAATATCAGGAAAACTCATCTCTGGTGCAGAATACACAGGAAATAATCATCCAAATCGCTTGTTTTACACAAACTGTACAGATTATCAGTTGTTCTCTACTGTTATTGAATATTATAGGAAATATCCATAAAACATGTCACTTAGTCTGAGGTCTAAATCACTGAATCAACTGTCAGTTGTCCTGTTGAAGTTGAGGTAAAGAGTATAATCAAAGTCATATAGTCATCACTGGTTTCATCATGTATATATATATATATATATATATATATATATATATATATGTGTGAGCCGCTTGACATCCACAATTACACACCTCCAGCCTTGTTTCCTCTAATAGCCGAGCTCAGTCTCAATCACAGACATCAAACGCAGTCAGTCAGAGCGGCTGACAACCCGAGGAAGACTCTGTCACAGCCTGGACAGACAGCTCACAGCAGGCCGGCGCTGTTTTCACACACTCCTGAAAGGTATGAAAGGCTTTAATGAAAAGAAGCACTTGGGTCTGTTGTTCCTCCACTGTACCCCTTCCTGCTGGCAGTGGAGTTGGTCTGCTACCAGTTTCCTCTTTTTCCTGCTTTATTTCACACTTTGTTTGAGACCAAAGGACTCGGCACTTGGCACTGCAGTTGTCTTAAAGTGTGTGTGAGTGTATATATTTTATATTCCTTCTTTAACAGCTCCGTTACTGCCACTGCTAATACGAACGGGAGAAAAATATAAACCTTGACAAGTCATTTGGTCAATTATTGGGTCATAAAAGTCTTAAAATGAGAAGTGAAAAGCGCTGCCAGTGCAGTAAGGTGATGGTTTTTTTTATTTCTACACTTTATTTTAAATGTGATTCTTTAAACAGAAGTGGAGAAAACACAAGTGTGCATTGTCAAATGAGTCGTAGAAGAAAATATAACACAAAAAATAACATTTTATTAGGTTAAAAGGAAGATTAAACATTTGCTAAGATGATTTCAACCAGCTCCCAAGACAGAATCCTGTACTACATTAGTGTTTTTAACCTTTTTTTATAATGTACTATCATTAATATTACTACAACCTTTGCTCTCAAACAGTGCAAGTTTTCACATTAAAGTGGTATTAATTCCTTTTTCTACCCTTAGCTCATAAAATATGAAGTTTTCTTTTAAATAAAACTACCCAACGCTTACAAGTACAGCTGGAAAAAATAGTCAATTAATCAATTAGTTAATTGACAGTATAACAGCCAGAGGGGACATACTCTTACATTGAATACTTCAAGTACATTTTCCTGATTATACTTTTACTCAGGTAACATTTTAATCACTTACGTGACTCAATCAAATAACTTCATCCATCACTGAACATATTTATTCTTTGAAGTTATCCTGATTCTAAATATAAGAACTGATCTAAAGTAAGCAGTTTAACTCTGCAACACATTTGCAGAGAATTTAATCTCATGTTCTTTGATCACTACTGACCTCATGTGGCTATCGGCTGCTGGTGCAAGCCCACTTAAAGAGTTTTAGAAGATCATAGTCTTGTTTTCACCACTTAACAGTACAAATATGAGCATAAATGTACACAAAAAGCCATGAAAATTGTACAGAAGAAGGATTTTATTCAGTGTTAATACAATAAATATACAAAACTCAAACTACTCAACATGCGACTGAAGGAGAAACCAGAGTGCATCTTTTAATTACAGCGAAATTTAGAGCGAACAGCTGACCGTCTGTAAATCGTACAAAATATACAAACACCCCCATCGCCACTTCTTTCAATAATTTCATTAAATCGTTAAATTTGATTCTCAGTGTTTTCTACCACAAACCGTTTTGATTATGAAGCACAGCTCAAAGCCACAGTCCATCTACAGTACAGCACACAGTTCACGTTGCATTGCAGTCTAATGCCTCTCACATTAATTTATTTATTTATGCTTTATAAGTCAGAAAGGAACAGCAAAAATTCTGTAGGCGCCACTCAGATTCTTTTTAAGGAATAATCTCATGTTGCTTTGTGCATAAATGTACACATGCACTGGTTCAAATTAAGCCAGTGAGAAATAAGCAAAACAAGGCTTGTTGCAGGAAGATTGGACAGATTAAATCTCCAGGAAGTCAAGAAGGATCCCAGACCCACAGCCAGACTCTGCCCTGCACACAGATTAAGACTTAAAGGCCAAATCATAGTCTATTTACACTCCTACACAACACATACATACATACATACATACAAAGGCTTAACTGGCTTAAACATGAGACACAACAGACACATTCAAACCTCTGCAGCTCGCACTGAAGCAACACAAGGTCACACGGAGAAAGACACATTGTTAGCAGGTCCAGACTCGATGCATCGGATTGTGGTCTCGCTGGAGTTCAGTGATAGTCAATCCACAATTCTCAAATTAGGAATATGCAAGCAATTATCAGGAACATTACATCATCATTACTGGCCCTTTCTGCCATCTTTTTTATTTTTATTGCAATATATTGATTTACAGCACGTATTATATATATATATATTTAAAAACAAGGGCCAGTCGGTGTCTAATTTCATACAATCTCATATAATTTTCAACCTCGTCATGCAAGAGAAGAGTACATCCTGAGTAAAACTGAGGTAAGTCTCGGGCTCGCGAGAAGAGCCGGAGACGAGTTACACTTTCCTCTTCAAATCAAATCAACTGTATAAACATGCAGCTGTATATACAGAGTGGTGGAGCTCTCACTGTCCGTTAACAGCGTCACCGATTCTTTTCTTTCTGAGGAAAGGACACGAAAGGTTAGGCTTCATGTGAAACTATGCTGAACTCAGCTGGTGTACGTGAGATGTGTGAGTTAAGTATCTACACTAATGAGCAGGAAGGCGGTATTATAAATATCTTTTCCACTCGCAACCGATTACAGAGTGCAGACGGAGCATCTGATGATGAGATTTAAAGTGCAACTTGGCATAATTTCACAATGGATATGTAGACCGTTATAGGCAAAAGATTTCAAGCAAAATACTTTAAAGTGATAGTTCACCCAAAATCAAAAAAATAAGAGTCTTTTGAGTATCAAACACTGCTCGAAGGCGGGAGAAATGTTTGTTAAAAGTCTGTAGTTCACAGAGAACGACGACTCTGATCAGCTTGAATTTAGTTTGTTAAAACAGATTCAAATGATACGTTTTTATATTATATGTCTATTCATATGGTCACTAATGTTACCAAAATACAGCAGTTACAGTTTGCATTGCAGATTTTAAACCGAATTTTGAGTGAATCAACTAAAGAAAATGTGAATTAATCCTTTGTTTCCTTCCACAACCGTTAAAGAAGGTGGCGCCAAATCTCCAGTTGGACAACCTCAAATGGTGAAAAACTATGAATAGTTGCTGAGATATTTCCGACTGACAGACATTTCCATCCTTGGATCCATGCTGCTAACATGGCTAAAAATCTCAAACACCAATATCTTTGTTCCTTTTTTCCAACCAATGTGAATATATTTCCTTGGCAGATTATTGGGTAATAAAAACCCTCACTCGCTCTACAGTCTACAGGAGTTTGATACTCAACAAGTAAGACTTTGGGTGATGCATCACTTTAAGGTGGAAAGACTACACACTTTCTAAAACCAAATTCAGAGGACAGCAGAAAGTAGAAGGCAAGGCAGTGAACTGGAATGCACAGCATTCATCTTCAACAATACAAAGTCACTCCACCGGGGGGCAGCAGTGTCAGGTTGTGTACTCATGGAAACCAGCAAAACAAACCAGAGAAGGCTGCTGCATGTGCATTAACTGATGATGATGATGATGATGATGATGATGATGATAATGATTTCCATTCATCCGATAATAAATTAATTTAAAAAAAGAAGAGAAGTAGCGATTACACGCAGAAATCAAAGAAAGCGCGGGACACACAGGAAGCCGATGATGGCGATGTCGATGGCGGGAAACGCCCAGGTAAGTTTAGAAAGTTGGACTTGGTTCAGCTACATTAGAATCCGTCTGCAGAGGACAGACGGGCCTTTTAAAAGAGGCACGCTAACATTCGTTTAGTTGGCCACACACACACACACACACACACACACACACACACACACACACACACACACAAACATAAACTCAAACACACAAAAAAACAAAAAAAAAACACACACACACACACACACACGCTAGTTGACTGGTAGTAGGAGTGCAGCGTGAGGTGAGGGGGCTTCAGAGTCTGTGATGAGTGCACAATGTTGCTGGGGGGGAGAGAGAAGGGAGAGTAGGACAGAAGCGAGCCGTGGCCCTGTTTGAATCCCAGATCGTGGTCGACTGGACGGCCGACCGTAGCGCCTTCACATGAACTGCTTTGATATTTATTGTCAGAAGGCGGTCCGTGTGTTCAAACAGGGCGGCTGGCTCGAGGGGGAGTGAGCTGGATGAGCAGAGGAAGAGGGGGGAGGAGGGTTGGACGGAGAGAGAGAGAGAGAGAGAGAGAGAGAGAGAGAGAGAGAGAGAGAGAGAGAGAGAGAGAGGAGCTCTCGAGGGCCAATCAGATCTGCTCCTTGAAGGTTCCTTGTGCAGCCCTGGTGGCGGCGGTAGCGGCGGCCGTCTGCACCGTCTTGTTGGACATGACGCCCGTGGCAAACTCCTGCTGGGCCCTCTCGAAGCTGGCGTCGGTGGTACGGTACATCGCGTGGACCTGAGGAGGGTGAGGAGGGGGGGAAGAGATGAAATACGACTGATGAGACTTCAATAGAAGCTACTTGAACTCCTCGTGGGTTTGTTGTGCGTCTACCTTTTTGAACATGATGAGGGACATGACAGCCAGAGCGGTGAAGAGAGCAGCGATGAGGATCATTATAATGCCCACCGGGATGCTTTTGTTCAGGCCGGTCAGAGCCGAGATCCACCCGCTGGGGACGAGAAGAGTCATTCAAAGGATAAAGCTGGTTTTTAAAACATACACATTGTAGTTTATTTTGACTCAATACACCATCATGCTTTCATCATGATGTGATGATGTGACATTATTGGGCGTCTGTACCTAACAAACATGTTTTCTTACATCTAGAGAATACGATTTGTAGACCAGCTCTTCATCATAACGCTGTTTTGTCACTTTACGTTGCAGCTTCTGTGATTTGGATATTGCACTCGACTATATTGAGAGTTCAGTAATATTTAAATTAACTGTACAGCCCTACACACGGCTGTGTCTCACCTGGCGCCCCAGCCACTGATGCCGATGCACTGCATGACGTAGACGCCAAACTGACAGATGTACACGAAGAAGAACACAAAGAACCTGAATGAGCTGTCACTCCTGCAGAGAGAGAGAGAGAGAGGAACATGATATGAACATAAACAACACAATAGTGGAGGGTTTTACTTGCACAGTCAAGGTAAATACAGTTGTGTTGTTTACCTGAATGCTCCGTAAAGCGGTCTGTACCAGCAGACGAATGAACACGGTGTGAAGAGCAAGAACCAGAGGATGGACAAGCCAAAGTCCACCCCACGTGCAGAGTCCACACAGAACCAGGCCATGCAGCCCACCATGTTAGCAAGCAGCGTCCCAGTATGAACTGGAGTAGAAAGAGGGGGAGAACATGTACAGTGAGTGTCTGGATGGAGCTTTAAGTGAAAGTGGGACAGCGTGGCAGCCTCGTGTGTCACTGTATGCGTCGGCTGGTGGAGGCTGGTGCAGCAGTGTCCAGTGTCCTGACACTGCTGCACACTGACGCTTAATATTTCAACATGTAACGACACTGTGCAGCACATTTAATAATTCATTATTACCATTAGGTCTCGGAGTCCTAACAGCGACTGCATGGTTAACGCAGGCATTGTACACTAACACGAGTCTGTAAAATGGAGGGCAGTTTACGGCGCAGTGTGAAATATGACATTAGCTGGCTGACTGAGCGGGGGGGGGGGGGGGTTGTGCTGATGTGTGCTCAAGATCTTTTCTACTTCAGCCTGGAAAAGAAATCCAGTTTCTTCCAACATAAAATCCAAAAAGTCTTTGCTTTTATCAAACACTAATCTGTGCAAAAAAAGAGGAGGAGGAGGAGGAGGAGGAGGAGGAGGGAGGGAGGGGCATATCTGTATCTGAGCTAACCTTTAAGCAATCATCTGACCGAGTCACTTCATCGAGCCACATGACTGCACCACAAGCCCTCGTCATGTGGCCACTGCATGCCACTCGGAGCCATTCATTCCCTGAATCACAGAGGGGAAAGGGTAATTGTTCTACCGCCATCAGTCCTGAGCTGTGGGGGTTGTAGAGGGAGGAAGGGGCAGTAGGTCTTATTCAGGGGGTCAAGGTGGGGGGTTATTTGTAAATGTATCTCTCTGGTACCAAACTGTGTTATTCCCCCCTCCAGACATGTATTAAAACATACACAAACAGTCTGTTTGCAACAATAATGTGTGTCTGACAATTTGATAATTTCAACATTTAAATTCTTAAATAGACATCTTTCTACCTCATTAGAAATGTTTTCCTGCTTCTTCTTCCTTCACTGTGAAGTCCATTCTCAGTGTAAGTTTTATTTACTGCATTAAATCCAATTAAAAACTCTTACAAAAGACTTTTCTATGAGTTGAAAGTGTTTTATTTTGGAAGCCTACAATGCAGAACATATGAGCATGTTGACTCCTTAGTGAGAGAAAAAAAAAATACCCCTAATTATTAATTATATAAACCACCAGTCATTAAAAACAAGCTTGCCTTGGAGTTGCAACACAGACTGCAGAGTTTGCCATCTGTTCCCAACAAGCTCTAAAGATTAAAAACATCAGAGGGAGACAGAAAGAGGCAGGCCGGGTAAAAAAAACTGAAACTTTCAGGTGGTTTCTCTCACTCTGGGTTGTTTAAAGGGGACAAGCAAATCAACATCTATATATTACTACTGCTTTAGGAAAGTAAGAAAGCCTCTAGTTTATTTAACCAATATGCAAGATTTGATATCAGTCCTTTTAGTAATAGTTCCAGTATGGACATCAACACCTGCTGTTAGACATAGTGAGTATAGAGCAGTGGTTATATTCAGTGCATAACAATAAGAGTACAGGACAAGTGATAAACTGTACAATGAACCCAGATAGGGAACGAAATAACTGCAGGAAGTTTGTGTAAAGTCAGCAATTTTGATGAATTCTGAGTAGATTCTTCCTGCTGAATTTTGCACCAGAGGTGTGTTTTGTGCTTTTTATACATTTATCTGTGTGTATATTTAATTTAATTAACAACCCTACACGGTTAATAGGCTTTTTTCTTTGACAAATTCAGTCTTTTCTAGGCCATTATTCTATCAGCTCTTTTCTAATGCAGGACAAGGTTGTTGGCAGAGTGAACGCTCTGTAAATACAGTCTGTGTTCATGTCTTCATTTTACTCTTATCCTGTGAGAATTGTTCTGAGTTTATGTCTTTAACAATAACAGTTTCATTTAGTTTTCCTCATATGAATGAAATGCTAAGATTAAGAGTGTCTAGCTTTAAATGTCCATCTCATCCTCGATATGTGGATCAATCAGGACTGCAAAGCTTCTAAGAGGCTCAATAGTGATTATGTTGATCGTGTAAGGCTGCAAGTAACTGATAATTGATTTTATAGACTTAAAAATGAAATCGATTGGTCTATAAAATGTACAGAAATTGCTAAAAATGTCCATTTTCATTTCCTAAAGTCAGAATCTTTGTTGTGTCTGACCAACAGTCTACTCTCACACAGCTGGAACTAGAGAAAGTCTGACATTTTGCTTGAAAATGACTTAAACCATTAATAGATTATCATTTATTATTTTATAAATAGTTGTCGATTACTTTGAGTAAGTCTTTATTCTGTTTGACTCTTCAGTCACCTCATCCGTGGGTGAATTCACTGCCCTCGGACGAACACGCACTAACATTACAACGCAGCACACATCATAAGCATTAATGGAGTAAAATAAAAGGAATAAAAAAAAAAACTCACACATCCAGAGGTAATACATGATCTTCACCGTCTTCTGAAACTCTACAGGGATGTCCACTGTGATGTCGTGGTAGAAACAAGGACCCACTGGGAGCTTCTCTGGGAGGGGGGGCCAGTTGTTTTTCCTGCCTGAAACAACACAAGAGACAAGTTGACTGTAAATAATATTATATTATCAGAGATCAGGGAGGAATCTGATTACTGACCAGCTGCATGTAAACACATGTTTTACAGAGTTAATGCAGTTCATGTATATCTAAATGCATTCTTTGATGTCCTAATAATAGCTTAATAATGTGGTTTAAAGTAGAAGTCTGCAGCTATGTGCACAGGCTCTGTGGAGACGCGAGGGGGATTCAAATGACTAGTTTGGCCTTTTGGGGAAATATGCCTACAGTATTTTGCTTTCTCGCAGATTGACTCTCGTGTCTGTATGTAAAATGTGATGGTAGAGGCAATTAGCTTAGCAGAACATAACGACAGGAAGGAGGGGGTAAACAGCCAGGCTGGCTTTCTAAATTTGACTAATTACCTCCCCCAAACACATAAAAACAAAGATTGTGTAATACAATATCCAAGCAGGTGAAATACAATATTGATGTATATTCAGGTAATAGTGTTTACCAGAGGAAATACATTTTATTGAGATCTATGAAGGGCTATGAATCTTTGCTAATTACAGACATTTTCAGATGTTTTTTCGTATAAAGAAAAGCTAAGAGCTTGGCTGTAGTGTGATGGAAGTAGATTGTTCCAAAAAGATCCTCTGTCTTTCAGTGAATATTGATTAAGGGAAAGTCCGACAATACGGAAGATGACAGTCCTGTGAGAGTGTTTTGTAGAATTTGAGTGAATGTCTGAGGAGAATTTGACTTGTTGTGGTCCCAACAGGGAAGAGAAGATCAGCCAGCTCATCACAATAATGGTGACAGGAGATGTGCTGCTGTTAAGCTTTGTGGAAGGGAGAAGGTTTCCGCAAGCTGATTGTGTTTGTTCAGCCGGTTTGCTGCTGGTGTCTGATGCTGACCTCCTGCAGCACTGAGGGACTGCATCTCTCTCTCCCGGCGGTCCAGCTCTGCAGCCTTCCTTTCCAGCTCCTCCTGTCGCCTCAACAGCTCAGAGGCTCCTTGCGACTGGTCCTACACACACACACAAGTATAGATACACAAAACAGATGTCAACACACTGATAAAAGGACAGGATTGTGTGTGTGTGTGTGTGTTTCAGACTGTTTTGGCTGACTACTTTTTCAGCTCAATAGGAATTCTCTGTTTCTACTTTTGGAATAAATCAAGTTCTCTACAGGGGCAGCACCAGCGGGAGGAGAGACATCACAACAACCTGTTCCCAAGAGCACAGCCTACAAACGAGATGCACCATCAGAAGTTATTTCCTGTGGCTGTCTGGATTTCTCCCCGAGTCTGTGTCTCCCTCCGTTAGAAAGCTCAGCCACAGATAGGAACTGCCTCCCGCTGAGCGACTTTTCTGTCCACAAACTCAGCGTGAAACCAGCTGTCATGTTAATGTATTTTCTGCCTTCAGTGCGCTCTCAGAGTCTCTGCTGTCGATGCTGGACTAAAACATTACACATCACAGTCTGCTTGCTTATATATAAACACACCTACAGCAGAGTAAAGATATGTTAAAACCTGACATTTCTCAGAGAGCGTGAAGAAGTAAAGAAGACCGTGTTGTGGTCAGTAATACCTGTGCCACAGTCTGCGAGTAGGCCGGAGGCTCCTCTGTGGGTTTCATGATGGCGGGTTGTGTGTTGATGGTGGGTGCCGTAGCCTTGGGCGCCATACCTGCAGGCGTCTACGTGAAGAAACATATATGCACTTAAAGTTTGTTATCTGTACAGTTCACAAAACAGAGTGGTATGATGTCAGGGATGCTGCAAAATGAGGAAGTGGAGTTTCTCAGAATGGCGAGTGTGTCACGCCTCTTTAACGGCAACAATAAAAATACACTGACAGTTCATCTGTCAACTGTATGAGCTCAGTTTGCCTCCAGTTCTTCTGCAGCGATTCACTTCTGAACTTAACATGGAAACTTAATAATATGTGACTTCTTCTTTTTTATTCGAGTACAAGAATGAAAGCAGTTGACAAAAGTGATTGTGTGAACAATTATAACTTTAATTAAAGCGTATGGAGCATAGACAAATTAAGAAAAGCCTACTATTGGTAACTAAATACCACGCAAAAGATTCATTAATGTGGAGGGAGAATAGTCAATGTAACCTCTTGAGACTGTTGAGATTAGATCATTTTGTTACTGTTTACTCCAATAAACCTGTCAGATCAATCAATCTGAATGAGTTTTACAGGCCTGAAGAGGTGAAACAATCCATTATTTTACAGGGAAAAACACAAAAACTGAAGAATTTGAGTATCAGAACAATAGATTTATTCATTCCTGTCCAGTTAATTATCTTACAGATTTATCGTGCGCTCCCCTTTCTCTTGGATCATATAGTTGCAGTAATTACCAGCATTTGTCTGGTGGTTTGTGCCAATTTTCCTACACTTCTATTGTGATCAGTGAGTCTGAATCGACACAAAATACAACTTTTATTTAAAGAATATATCATTATAAAGTAGTAAGAACTAAATAATGAACAAGGACTGAGTGTTTTAATTAAAAAGGTGATGAGAAACATGCTATTTCCCCATTTAACACAATTTTTAATTGAAAACGACGATTATATTCTCACAGCTATCGCGTTGTGAAATAACATAGATCCCTTTTAGAACTAAATCCATCCTCTGAAAGCTGTTAATGTTATTCAAACCTTGGTGTATGAACTCACTGCCACTGGATTATGTGTAAAAGTACTCACTTTGGCATCTGTGAAGGGATTGTACTCCTCCAACCCCGGAGGAGCAGCCTGTCTTACTTGTGTCACTGATGGATCCTGAGAAAAACAGTTGTAAGAACACTTTCAATAACAAACACATGAACTGTAGTAGAAACGCTTAATAAAGTGTCAGGAATAGTTGTAGCATGAGAATACCACAGTCTCGATGTGTCTATCCTGGTATTTTTACCAAAGACAGCAGAACAAATCTCCACAGTACGAGCGAAAACGGGCTCATGTGAGTGTAAAAACCCTCCATTATTCTGCCAGATCAAGGCCAAACAGCCCTCTTTATTCAAAACGCAACAGGCCTATAATTCAATTCTGGCAAAAGACAGGATGATTCCAATAATTTTCACGGGAAGACGTCTATAAATAGCCACGTCCGTGAGTTTCAGAAAGGGGGGGGTGCAGATGCTTCTGGCTGCTATAAGACAGAAATAAAACTGGAGAGTTTTTTCTAGTCTGCTGCGCTGGGCACAAAAACCACTAAAGCACTTTCTGATCCTTTTAGGCACATTCCTAAATTTGCAAGACAGGCAAATTGAAATAACTGTGTGTATAAAATGTTGGTAAATGACAGTTTTACTACGCACTATGTAAACACACACACTGTTAAGGATGAGGCTATAAAAAAAGCCCTACATTCTCTGTAGTATAAATATTCAACTATATCTACCACAAACTTTAAATAGCCTCTTTCCAGGTGAAACTCTATCCGTTAAAGCCGCATTATCACACCTTTATGTTTACAATAAACTTACCATCAGCTGCTGTCAGTCACGCACTACTTTCATTCAAATCGCTGCCTCAAGATTAACATCCAATCTGCGTATTCCTGCGGTCCTTATCCTTATCCAGTCTCACTGCAGCCCTCTCGCTGTCTTTCCGACTCTTAAATTTCTTGGAGCATCTCTTCCACTGCCGCACACACACACACACACACTGGGTGCAACTTGTCACCAGACCAGGGTCATAAATATTTCAGGGTATGTTGTGTTTAAAGTTTAATGTCGCCCTATTGCATAGCCAAACAATCCCATGCACATTCACCAAGTCTTCGTCTTGAAATCTACAGTCACTTAAGTAAAAAAAAAAAAAAGGTCCACCTGTTGCACATCCGTCTGCGGGAGAACTAATTTAACGGTTATGGATTTACCGTCACCTATCAAGGCATGAACTGGCATGGTTGTACCTGCCACAGTAGATAAAACAGACATAGTGCAGCATGCAGTCTCACTACCTGACGACACTTTATCCAACACTGTACTGTTGAAGGTGAAGCTGCAATATGCAACACAACGCTGCGTCCAAGCTCTTAACTTTTATTAAGCTAGAAAAAAAGGAAAATACAAATTGATATCTGTATTAACGGACTAATTTTTGTAATTAGCCTACATCCACAGAAAATAGGCCAAAACATGAATGAACAATCTGATGCAGGAAGAAGGCGCCAGCAGGGAGGGGGGGCGGATCTCAGCGCCACATGTCGCCAGGACGGCACCATATGATTTCATGAAGTATTGAAGATAGCTCAGAGAGGGGAACAAAGCCCGGTACCTCCTCAGGCGAACGAGTGCGGGCCAACAAATGACAGAAAAATGTCAGGACAGCAGGGGTTCACTACTCATGTCACTACGTTAATGCGGCTCCATGAATAATTCACTTTCTGTGCGTCGGTAGAGTCAAACTGTGCCGTCAGCATCTTCCACCGCCGCACACTGAGCGAGCAAAGATGGTGGGATCACTTTTCTAAAGGTTTCTGCAGCATCTAAAAGACCCATTTTAGACTCATTTATTCATTTACACTTATTTCTTTCTAAATTAAACATGACAGACGTGTTTATAACAGATCAATAAATGTGATTCCTGGTTTGCTTTACGTACAAACAATCTTTATAACTTAGTTCTGGTACCTTATGATGGGCATTACAATTATTCTTGACATGTTTAAAAAGTGGTTAATCTAAAACAACTACTTATATTACCTTAATATTTTAATTTATTATCATGTAAGAGCAAGAAAAGTAGAGAATTCTCACATTTAACGACTTGTAACCATCAAATATTTTGTATTTTTAGTTTTAAAAATTCAAGAAAAACATAGTTGTCAGTTAATTTTCTTTTGATTGATCGATTAAATAATCGTTACAGCTCCACTATTATTTCTGATCTTGTGATTTATTCAAAATATAATCAATAAGTCCTTCTACTCACAATCAGTTGAACATTATCGATGAATCTGTTGGTTATTTTCTCGATTGATCTTTGGCCCAAACATGTCATAAATACCATCTTATCAGACTGATAAGAGCTTTATGAGGCCAATACTGATATTGATATTCAGAGTTAAAAACAATCTGATAACGACTAAATATTTGTTAGATTTCCCTTAAATTAGTCTTCTTTGGACAACTACAACCAAGTACTATACTGGGCCAGACATTAAACAGTAGAAACTTTACACTGTTTCAAAAATATAACTGTGGTATTGATTCTGTATTTCCATTTCTTGCCATTTATCAACCAAAACTGGAGCAGATTTATCCACAATGAGCTTATATTGACCTCAAACATCATAAAAGACGAAGAAAAACAGCAAATATTCACATTTGAGTAGCTTGAAACAAGGTTTTTTAGGCATATTTACTTTTAATTAAACAAATTCTATTCTAAAACTAGTTGCTCGACTAATCAATCCTAATATTTTCAGCTCTACTGGAAATGCTAATCAGCTGCTGCCACAGCGCCCGTGTTTAGTACACCTGATGTGATGAGATACAGACGGGAACACCACTGCAGGCCTGTTGGGGCAGGGCGCCACTGCAGGGCGGCAGAAGAGCACCTGACCAAATGCATGCTTTCACCATGACAAGACACTGTTAACACAAGGCCAACAGCACAATGAAGGCATGACAGTGAACAAACCACAATCACACAGTATGTTCTGCTCTCGTTTACTTCTGTTTTTGAAGAGCGAGTCACGCAAAGGACTGTTTCAAAAAATAAATATATATCCAAGAAGCATCCCCTCAAATCCTGGACGTCAGGTTGAGTTATTATCATCTGTGGTTTGGTATAGAAAGTCCATTACGGGGAGCTAATCTGATTATAAAACAAAATCATTTTAATGCATCTATAACGGCACTTAAGCCAGGATGGGAAATCAAACATGAAAACAGGAACATTTAAAAAGCAGTTTACACAATATATGTGCATGTTCCCTATAAAGGCCTGTACGGGAAAGGAAGTCACACAGGTGTAAAGTTAAATCCAAAAAGGGGCAAGTTACTTATTTATTACTTTACTTATTACACTACTAGTTATATTACTTTTCTGCAACATAATTGGTTATTGTGTCTCCCCAATATTCAGACTTTAAGATAATTAAAACCAGTTTTTTTTTGGTTAAAAACGTAAAGTAATGGGAATATTTCCATCTTCCAATCTAGTTTTCCTCCATGATAACAAAAATGAATCAAAGAATGTGATTGGAAATTGTTTTTCCAGGAGTTTTCTTGATAATACAGGACAACACTTGCTCACAAACAAGTCATATAATTAGCATCTGCTTCATATTTACATTTTTTTTAAATGGTTTTAAGGGTTATTACAGGTAAGGAGCTTTGATTGGACTAAACTTTACCTCTAAACACAGATTATCTGAGTGAGGGGGGTAAAACACAAACAAATATCATACCCAGCTGATTTTACCCAATTAACCAATCAATAATTACTCAAATCTATTAATGATTAGTTACACAACCAGCTACTGGGGTAAAGTTATATTACGCAGTGTATTAAATAAAACTACATACACCCAACCAGCTGCAGTCCAGCACTATCACCAGGAAGCCAAGCTACAGCTACCTGGTACATGTTATACCACACCAGGCAAAGCACCAAATACTAAGAGACGGACTCCAACTAAAACCGCCCAACAAGTGAATTACCGTCTTGTGCCAGCTGCTGTTCCCGTTAATAAAGTCGGGCAGCTTTTATTCGCAGCTGTTTAACCCAGAAAGCAGTTAGTTAACGTGAAGAAGGAGCTAACGCGGCTAGCTGACGTTACCTGAAACGGGTTGCTGAACTCCGGGTCCGCGAACGGGTTGCTGTCGAAGTCCGACATTCTCCCCCACCGCAAAGGAAACACGAAAACACACAAAGAGGACGGCTTAATCCGTTCCCGTTGGATGTGTCTAAACACAAAAACAAACAACAACAACTAACAATTAGTTCGTGAAAAAGTTTTGAGGTGATAGCTACTTTCCCACCCCCCCCACGTCGGAAAGAAAACAAAAACAACGAAGCCTCCGCGGTAGCCGCAGGAGACGACACACGACCAGAGACACTATCGACGTGGAGGATTGGTTACCGGCAGCGAGATCAGATGGGATAACGAAGGGCTGCAGGGGCGGAAGTACGGGAACGTCACTTCCTGGATACGAGGTTACAAATGGTACAACGGTTATTTGCTGCTTGTTTGTTTTAAAATCTCTGATTTTGTTTAATAAGAAAATAAGTAATACCTTACTGAGTCTTTATGAAAGGGTTTTTCCCTGAAGCCCCTGTTTGAACTATCTATTTTTTTTTTTTATTTATTTATTTATTTTATTTATTTATTTTTAATTTGTTCTCTATCTTTGATTTATTTATTATTTATGTCACCAATGTGCTGATTGTTATTGTATACCTTGTAGCTTTGTACATTTAAATTGTTCAATAAAAATATATATATATATTTTGCTGCTCATAAAATAAAATAAAATAAAATAAAATACAATACAATTAAATAAAATTAAATCAAATAATAATATATTTTATTCATAGTGTTTTTCAAGGAGGTCAAAGACACTTAACATACGTTGAAATATATGGGTTAAAAATGTAATAGAAACAACACACAGAAGTGGGTTTTGATTAGTGATTTGAAAGTGGGTGGATTAGTACAGTACTTTATTTAAATTAATGTAATTTAATTTAATTTTTTATTTGTTTATCATCCAAGTTGGGACATTTAGTATTTTAATTTAAATTAAAAAAATTTGGTATTTTAATTTTGCTTTAATTTTATTTTTTTATTTTATTACTTTATTTACTTTTTAAAATTTTATTTATTTTCAAAGTTGAATTTAGTATTTTAATTTAAATATATTTTGAATTTGTTTGTCATCCAAGTTGGGACATTTAGTATTTTAATTTAATTTAATTTATTTTAATTTTATTTTTTTTTTTTTTTTTTTTTTTTTTTTTTAGTTTTTTTTATTTTTATTTAATTTAATTTTTTTAAATTTTACTTTACTTTATTTACTTTTTTTAAATTTTTATTTTGAATTTGTTTGTCATCCAAGTAGGGACATTTGGTCTTTTAATTTTATTTAATTTAATTTTTTTAAATTTTACTTTACTTTATTTACTTTTTTTAAAATTTTATTTTGAATTTGTTTGTCATCGTTGGGCATGATTTAATTAATAATTTTTAAATTACTTTATATATTTTATTTTGAATTTGTTTATCATCCAAGTTGGGACATTTGGTATTTTAATTTTATTTAATTTTATTTTATTTAAATTTTTACTTTACTTTATTTACTTTTTTTTAAATTTTATTTTGAATTTGTTTGTCATCCAAGTTGGGACATTTGGTATTTTAATTTAATTTTATTTAATTTAATTTAACTTAATTTTATTTCTTACCCTAATTTGACCTTAAATCGTTAAAAACCGGTCACACTAAATGTTTTCACACTCTTACCGGCAGATTATCGGTTAAATTTGCGTAAAAAACGTTGACGACTACGCAAATACTGTCTGCCAGTAAGAAACGTTGTTACCCGGGCAACACAAAGTCTCGGGGCGTTTCCACCCCAGATCCACGCATTCTAAACGACACGTCAAGTTGCTACGGTTACGGGCAGCGACTCTACTCAACCTAGATCTGTGTGCCGTGCGCAGCCGAAGCCCTGTCATGTGACACCAACTTGTCCAGCTCACACTTCCGCTACTGCGTGTGTGTGTGTGTGGAGGAAAAATAATAAAAAAAAAAAAAAAGTTGGGTGAAATCTCGGAGAACTTTTTGGCTTTTGCGGGAACTTTCTACGCTACGTTACGCTGATATACCCTCGGGTTTACGAGCAGCTTATGAGTAGAAACTGGAGCTGAATATACGTTAAATTACCGGACACTTGTTTAACCGCCGAGCATGTCGACGAGCGCCCTGTACAATGACCAAGGCGGAGCGGAGGCGGCCGTGGAAGCGGGTCAGGAGAGCACCCCGACCTCCTCCGGCACCGGGGCTGCCTTTGGACTGTTCAGCACCGACTTCAAGA